TGTCCAGCAACGGATCGCAACCCTCAGTGTCGCCCCCGCACCGGACCAGGACCGGCAACGGGATCGCAACCCTCGGTGTTGCCCCCGCGCCTCGCTCAGCCAGTGAGCGGGAACCGGTCTGTATGTGGGATCCGAACCCTCGGTGGGAGCGCCTCCACGCTTCTCAAGTGGTGCACCAGCGCAGTGCGCCACTGGGCCGGCCCATCGTTTTGTGTCCTTTTTGAGACCGGCCGCACCACGCTCAGCCAGTGAGCGCACCGGTCATCCCTATATAGGATCCGAACCCAGGGCGGGAGCGCTGCTGTGCTCCCAGCGCCGCACTCTCCCAAGTGCGCCACAGGCTCAGCCCAAAACCTACAATAAACTAGATGCAAAATTTGAGATGCTAACAAAATTATCTTTAAAAAAATGAAATAGTAAAAGCACCACATTTTCTAAGATCATGACCAAACCACAGAGTTAAGGCAATCAGTTACAATCTAATCCAGGCCAAATATTTGCTTTTACCTAAATTACCTGTCTCTTTGATTATCATTAAGGGTAATTGCCTGAGTTTTCTTTCTTTCTTTTTTTTTTTTTTAAAAGATGACCAGCAAGGGGATCTGAACCCATGGCCTTGGTGTTATCAGCACCACACTCTCCCAAGTGAGCCACGGGCTGGCCCTTACCTCAGTTTTCTACTTGGCCTAGTTGATGAGTATTGGAAGAATAATGCCAGGTATAAAGAAAAAATTTCACTTTTTACATGAGCCAAAAAAATAAACAAACTCCTCTTATAGTAAAGAATTGCCTCATGTACTATGACAACTTAGCAGTGATAAAAAATACTACCTGCTAAGACATTTTAGAGTAAATGAACATAAGCTTAAGCTCTTAAACCATGTATTGAAATTATGACTGTAACAGCTTCATCGGAGGCTTTTTGTGGGAAGATTTCAAAAGTTCAGTCAGAGGCCAGCCCGTGGCTCACTCGGTAGAGTGCGGTGCTGATAACACCAAGGCCACGGGTTCGGATCCTATATAGGGATGGCCGGTTTGCTCACTGGCTGAGTGTGGTGCTGACAACACCAGGCCAAGGGTTGATATCCCCTTACCGGTCATCTTTTTAAAAAAAAAAAAAAAGTTCAGTCAGTTGCCAGAATTTGGGGCCAAGGATCCAGGACTGATGTATAATCTTAGAAATAACCCTTGCCAGCATTATCTTCACTGGAAAAAAAAATTGCTGGCTTTCCTTGACCTTTTTTTTTTTTTTGGCTGGCCAGTACAGTGATCCTCGACCTTGATGTTATAACACTGTGCTCTAACCAACTGAGTTAACCAGCCAGACTCTTGTTAGTTATTACTAATTGTACTCTATTGTCAAGGCTGTAAGCAACATGATCTTCTCATAGAAAAACAACTAAGCATTAGGAAGTTTCCAGCTGACAGCCTCAAACCTCTCTACTTTGCTGAACCTGTTTGGAACAGCACTGACTTTCCATTGTGAACTCCTGAGAACATTGCTGACTGCTTGCCCGGTACGGGCGCGACACTGAGGGTTGCGATCCGTTGCCGGACACGAAAAAAGACAAAAAAGACCAAAAAAAAAAAAAAAAAAAAAAAAAAAAAAAAAAAAAAAAA